TTGATTCTGGTGCAGGGTGATATATAAGGATCTAGCTTTAGTTTTCTACATGTAGTTAACCAATTTTGCCAGCACCATTTACTGAAGAGGCTGTCTTTGTTCCATTCTATTGTTTTAGCTCCCTTATCGAAGATTAGATGGCTATTTATAGCCATTTATATAGACAGGTATTTCCCAGTGTGGAGGATGGGAAGGTCGAGGCCAAGGTTCACCCTTAGTGTCTGTTGCAGGCTGCTTCTTTTTTGGGGATGGGGTGGGGCCTGAACTCTGGGCCTGGGTGCTGACCCTCAGCTCTTCAGCTCAAGGCTAGCGCTCCACCACTTGAGCCACAGTGCCACTTCCGGCTTTTTTCTTTTTGCTTATGGGGTGCTGAGGAATCGAACCCAGGGCCTCATGCACGCAAGGCAAGCGCTCTACCACCGAGCCACCTTCCCAGCCCTGCAGGCTGCTTCTTGATTTGCCAAGGGCCACAGCCTGGGGAGCTTTGGAAGACACTGCAGCCCGATCTCTCCCAAGGGATCCTGACTTCATTGGTTTGGGGTGAAGATGGTCCTGGGGAGCTATAGCAGCAGGAGGATCAAGCAAAATTTAGGAAGGGTGGAGATATTATTCAGGATGAATTTTAAAAGACAACTCAGCATACCCGACATCCCTCAAACACATACTAGAGACCTACAAATCACAGCCTCTCATCCCCCTCCCCCTAGGATGATGGGAAACGACTTGAACTGAGAGCACTCACCTTTCTCCTGACAGCTGTATCTTACAACTGCCCTTGCTGCCCACCCTACTGAACACGGAACCTTTGCCTTTACCCTGAGCAGAAGGACCCCACAGTCTTTCAGAAGCCTGAGACCAAGGCCATGTCTGGTGCCATGCCCTGGTGTGCACAGATGCTGCTGAAACCTTGAAGCCTTCTACTCCAGATAAGTTTGCTCTCCCACCCCGCCCCACCTGCTCACTTCTGTCTGTCCCACCTGACTTCACTTTTCCTGCAGAATATCCCCCAGCCATCATGGTGCAGTTGCTCTTTCCCCTTCACCCACAGACATGTCCTTCCCAGGTATTTTCTTCCTGAATAAAACCTGTTGGTCTGCTGAGGTCACACGTGCTACTCTTTTTCTTTGCTTACATAGGAGACCTAACCTTGCTCCACAGCTTGTATTTTCTTCATGGTATTTCCCTCTCATCTAGAGGATATTCTGAAGGGTTTTAAATGGAGGTGCACTGTAATCAGAATTGCAGCCATGATTGGAATTTCAGAGTTGGGAGCAGGCTGCAAAATGGATCGTGTAGTATGAATGGGAGAAACATGAAGGTGATCAAAACAACAACAACAACAGAATTTGTGATAATTTGGTCAGCCTGAAAAGCCCTTCACACCAGTTCCTGACAGGTGCCCAGGGGTGCATGAATTGTTCTACAGATCAAGAGGCAGGCTAGAGCTTTTAAGAAAATCAGCCCCCCACCAGAAAATGGATGGACACAGCAGAGGACACAAAGGAAGACCATCTGATCACAGAAATAGTAGAGGAGTTAACAAGAAAAGGAGGAATCTGGAGAGAAAGCAAAGAAACTGGGGCAGAATGGTGCTCTAGAGACCCTGGAAAGGCCCAAACAAGGCACTTTCTGAGAAGTAGAATAGAATATGACTTGGGACATAGTTTTTCACCATGGGAGTGAGGGGGTGTTTGGCGAGCTACACCAGGACCTTCAGAAAACTTGAAGTCAGAGAAGAGGAAACCAAAGGTGGAAAAAGACAATGGTTGACACATACAGGTTTTATTTTTTCCTGTTGAAGAAACTTGATTGTGAAGATAAGGATGAAGACATAGAGTCAGTCTGAGGTATGAAAAACAAGGGAAGTTTTGGTTATTTACTTTAAATATTCAGTATATTTGAGAGCAGACTCCAAAAGAGTGAAAAGAAGGAAGATAGAGAACTGAGGTAGTTAGTGGAGCCAGGTTGTTGAAGGATGATGGTCTGCCTTTTGTTTTTTTCTTCAAGTCTAGAAGAGGGGACAGCTGGTTACCCTTCCATAGAGGAATAAAGAAGACATTCTAGAGGTGTGGGTTTCATATGGAAGTTTTCCTGTATCACCGCTTGTCTTGAGAATTAATCTCTGTGTGTTCCTTATCCCACTCATATTCAAGACTGAGATTCTCTTAGGACAGTCCAAGATAAGAACCACCTGAACTGTAAGGGTCCCGTCCGTATAGGCCTCACTGACAAGGACTGGGAAAACTTGATTTTGAACTGTTGCTTGCACTTTGAACTCTACTCAAGCATGGAGAAGCACTTATCTCAATGAGCTTAGTGGAGAGCTGCAGTTCCATGTTTACTTTCAGCCAGGTATGCGAAGGATGCATGCTATTGGACAGCATCAGCCAGGATGCATGCTATTGGACAGCATCAGCCAGGATGCATGCTATTGGACAGCATCAGCCAGGATGCATGCTATTGGACAGCATCAGTCAGGATGCATGCTATTGGACAGCATCAGTCAGGATGCATGCTATTGGACGGCATCAGTCAGGACTCATGCTATTGGACGGCATCAGTCAGGACTCATGCTATTGGACGGTATCACTGTGGCTTTCCAAACCAGAAACTCTTAAGTAGCAGACTCTGTATGATACTTTGTAATAAGCAGCGTACCACCTGTCGATATCTTTGGAAGAAAACATGGAGACAGCAAGAATATTTTTAAAAGGGAGTTAGTGATGCATGGTCAGAGTTTCCTTTTTTTTTTTATTGTGAGACTACTGTACAGAGGGGTTACAATTACATGGGCAAGATAATGAGTACATTTCTTATCAAGCATTGCAACCTCCTCCTTTGTTTCCCCTTCCCATCCCTTCCTATCCCTTCCCATCCCTTCCCATCATCTCCCCCCCCCCTCCCCCCCACCAAAATTGTAAAGTTTGTTTTCGACATAACGACTTGTGCATCTCATTGTTGCAATGGGTCCACCTGTATCCCTATTTAAACCATTTGTTTTTTCCCTTCCCCTCCACAAATTATACCGACATCAAATACAGTGAAAGCAGGGGTTATACCGTAGGGGAGGTACATACAAAGCAACAAAGAAATCACCTTATAAATGTGTTAGAAACAATCGCATGAAAGAAAAAAAACATTTGAATACATCATCAACTTATCTGACCTTTTCTGCTTGACTCAGACATATACTATTTATTGTAAATAAGGGAAACCATGGGACCTATGTTTCTTGGGCTTACTTCACTTAATATAATGTTTTCCAAGTCTGTCCATTTCCTAACAAATGGGGCAATGTCATTCTTTCTGATGGAGGCATAGAATTCCATTGTGTCTATATACCACATTTTCTTGATCCATTCATCTACTGAGGGGCATCTGGGTTGGTTCCATATCTTAGCTATCGTAAATAATGCTGCAAAAATATGGAAGCTTCATGAGTTTACGTGTCATCCTTGCACAGGGGCCATGCTAATCTTCTCTGTATCATTCCAATCTTAGTTTATGTGCTGCCGAAGCGAACATGGGCAGAGTTTTCTGTTTTCCATTTTTTTTGGGGGGGGTCCGGTCGTGGGGCCTGAACTCTGGGCCTGGGCGCTGTCCCTCAGTTCTTCAGCTCAAGGCGAGCACTCTACCACTTGAGCCACAGCGTCACTTCCGGCTTTTCTCTTTTCTTTCTTTTTTTTTTTTTGCTTATGTGGTGCTGAGGAATCGAACTCAGGGCCTCAGGCATGCAAGGCAAGCGCTCTACCACTGAGCCACCTTCCCAGCCCTGTTTTCCATTTTTTTTAAAGCTATGTTCCAAATGCGTTGGCCTTTTCTGTGACGGTAGGTGCTAGTCAGTTAGAAAAACCAGCAAAAACTTTGAAAATAAAATACATCAGATCTCCTTGCCGGTGAAGGTGCATCTTTTCCAGGAATGGGAATTTCATGGCCACTTGCCAGAGTCTGGAATGATCACTTTGAGAACTACTTGGAATTTTCCCAGTGATCATATGAGTCCATTGCTCACAAAGATGTTAAAACTCTAGTAGCAAGCAGACATTGAGACTTTTGCAAAAGTAAATCTCTAGCCTCAGTGAAGAGGCTAGACGCTTCCTCTTCTCTCACTAGGAAGTTTCAAACTTAATTTTTATTTTTTTAAATCGCAACTGAAAACATAGGTCTGTCAGGAGAAACAGTTTTCAGGAATCTTTCCCCCTAGGTTTAGCTCCACATCTCTGGATTCATTATATAAATATTGTAAAGCCAGCATCATGGTATAGCAAGGACCACTGTTCCCGGTCTTGCATTCTAGTGAACTGATTTCCTGAGGCAGGACACAGTGTATACATAAACCTCTTGAACTTAGGTCTTTGGGTGTCTGGGCTTTCAGGGTATCAGATGAAGATGAGAAGCTCACACAGATCTGATCACATCGCCCACCTTCTGCTCCTGATATCGGGGGTCTCCTCCCTCCCGCCCCGCCCCCCGCCCCGTCCGCCCAGGTCACCGGGCCCGGCGGCTCCTCCCCGTCTCGTTCCCGGCCCCGGGAGTCACGGGGTGCGCCCGGCTCGGTGCCCAGGTTTGAGTCATCCGCCGGAAGCGTGGCCCGGACTCCGGCCGGAAGGGAATCTTCAGAGCCGCAGCGGCAGCATCGGGGCAGCAGCGTCTGGAGCGCACCTGGAGCTTCCCAGGTACCGGGCAGGAGAGCTCCCGGGGTCCCGGGGAGGGAGGGGGGCCGGGGACGGGAGCGCGGAGGCCCGGGCTGCGGTCCGCGCGCTGCAGGAGCCGAGGACGTCGGGGAACCGGGGCAGCCAGGCGGGAGGCTGCGGCTCCCCGGGATCCCGCATCCCGCGCCCGGTGGTGACCCGCGCAGCCCGGGGGCCCGCGGTCCTCCCCGTCCGGCCACGCCTCCGGGGGGGTTGGGGTTTTGGTGAGTGGGCAGGAAGCTTGGGAGACGGCGGCGGCGGCGGCAGCGGGAAGCCCCGGGCTTCCCAGGAAAACCGGGGCGCGACTGGAATTCCCGGGGCGCCCCACTGCGTCGCCGCCGCCTCCCCCTTCCCCTCCCCCTCCCCCCTCCTCCTTCTCCCCCCGGCCCCTCCCCCCCCGGCCTGCTTCTGGTTCTCCTGCTTTCGGCCGCGTGCATCCCTGACTACTGGGCTGCAGTCTCTTTAAATTCTTATTACGACGTCCAAATACTGTGAAATCCCTGCGAGTGGGTGGATAGCTCCCCTTTCCTGTCATTGCCTCTACTATCCAAGTAACTTCATCATCCATCCGTCCATCCATCCATCCATCCATTCATCTACCAGTCTGTCCATCCATCCATCCATCCATTCATTCATCTATCCATCCACCCATCTGTCCGTCCATCTGTCTATCCCGCTATCCGTCCGTCTGCCGTCCATCTATCTACCCACCCACCCATCCATCCATCCATCCATCCATCCATCCATCCATCCATCCAGGTAGCATCTCTTGGATCCAGATGCTGATGAATCTCAACCTTGTCTCTAGACACATGCCTATCTTTTAGGCACACCCACATTTCCAAACCTCCTGGCTGCCTTTGTTACAGGCTCAGTGGTGTGACATGCTCCCTACATCTGGAATGGAACGTGTCACCTTCCCCATTCCACGTCGGCTTCTCATAGGACCTGCCGGCAGTTCATGACACACCCAGAGTGAGACCTTAGCTGGGAACCCGAGCTGTATGGTTCTTGACGCCTTCTAGTCGGTCTTAGAGCAAGCATTCTGTCCGTGACGCCTCCCAGGGCTTCCTAGAGCAAGCGTTCTGTCTAACATTTCATCTCCCAGCGTCTCCAGGGCAGGGACTTTTCCAGGAGTCTCTGGGCCGGGATGGAGTTCAGCTACCAAATCTCGACATCATATAGTCAGCCTTCCAAGTCTCCACCAGACTCTACAGTTGTTTAAAATCTACCCTAACTCCAGTTCAGACTTCTCACTTGTGTATTAATAGTGGAGACTCTCTGATTGGCGTCCTTCCCTTCCCCCAGTTCCACCCACTTTCCTTCCCTTTTTTCTTGGGCCCCAGAGAGACACAGATCAAAAAGGAGTGGGGGTGGGGCGGGGAAGCACAAGAAGTAAGATTTCAAAGCCATGGTCGCAGGTGTGTTCAGTCCACTGGGAAGCTGGGAGCTGATCCTGTGTGTATAGAAATCAGACCCTTATTGCTGTCCAAGGGATCACTGATGATTATGATAAAACAAAACTAGTGAAGGCATTGAAGAAGAAATTGGCCTGCAATGCTACTGTAATTGAACACCCAGAATATGGAGAAGTAATTCAGCTCCAGGGTGACCAGCCTAAGAACATATGCCAGTTCCTGGTAGAGACTGGACTGGCTAAGGGTTTAAATGCTTGTGGCCCACTGAAGCTTAAGTGAGGATTTCCTTGCAATGAGTAGAATTTCCCTTCCATCCCTTGTCACAAGTTTAAAAACCTCACAGCTTGTATAATGTAACCATTTGGGGTCGGCTTTTAACTTGGACTAGTGTAACTCCTTCATGCAATAAACTGAAAAGAGTGAAAGGAAGGAAGGAAGGAAGGAAGGAAGGAAGGAAGGAAGGAAGATACAGGACCATCCTCACTTTAGCTAGACTGTCTAGTACTTCTGATTTTGCTCATTTCCCAAATTGAGACCTGTTTTTCTGATGTGTCCTTAAAGTTTTGAGTTTTGATATTTTGCGTTCAAAATACACATTCAAAGAAAAAAGAGGCTTGTGTAACAGAATATATAATTGGTGTGATTATGGATTTATGGCCGGTGATTTGTCCATTTTCCAAAATGTCCCCATTATAAGGGCTAAGAGTCGCAGGGAAAATGAAGTGAGTTGAGTGTTTTATGACTCAGTAGCCCAGGGTTCTATAAAGTTTAATAGAAATGCCTCATTAGAACCAAGTAACTTGGGGGATAGGTGGGGTTGAGGGACACCAGTGGAAGGGGTGACAGTAGCAAGATGCGTTGTACCCACAAATCAACTGTGTTGAATTGGAACCCCTTTGTGCTGCCCTTTTAAAACAATGCTTAAAAAGATGAAAAAGAAATAACTCATTAGTAGAAGACAATAATTTACTAAAATGGTAACATGAGAACCCAAAATGCGTTTCTGTCACTTGGAGAAAGCTATCCTAAGTTAGACTTCCCTCTTCACCTGGGAAGATTTCCCTCTTCTACCTACTTTGAGGCTGAATTGCAAAGGGATGGCCTAAGGGCTTTCAGGGACAGAAAGCCAGCTGGAAGCTTTTAACAAGATTTACATTTCAAAGGAGCATTTAACCAAATCCCAAGTAACTGCTGTAAGAAAAGGGAAGTTAGAGCCCAGAGCAGGATTGTTTACTTAGGCAAATTCCACTTGATTTTAATTTAGTCAAAGTATGGGGACCTTTGACCCCATCCTGGTCCAACCAGTTCATTTAATTCACACTGCTCTATGACTTCACATTTGGGCTGCTGATTCTATATTTTATATGCAGTTCTTACGGATTTTATATTTTAATTAATATACTATTTTAATCATTCAAAAGTTCAATTAACAAGATAATTTATAATAATTTAGGCAATAATTTATAATAAATAATTTAAATGTTTAATGAAAATAGTTGGCATATTTTATATTTTACATGTAGTTCAGCTTATTTTACATATAGTTTCAGATTTTATATTTTATGTAAAGTACATGTGGACTCTCTCTACACAGTTATCAACCACTTTGGTGGAAAGTGTTGCATCTTTTTAAAATTCTCCCTATAATCCATATTTTAGGCTAGACATGCTCAAACACCCTCCAAATTTGTGCCATCTGTCCAGCCATTTCACATGGCCGTCAACTGAAAAGAATTGTGTATGATCCTTGGAATATTCTTTAAGAATGATGTCAGAGACATGAAGGAAAGTCGCAGCAGTAGAAGACTGAGAAATGGGTCTGTGAGGTTGCACTGTGGGGTGTAGGCATCAGCGGCTTGGGGAGAGCTGTAGAAGCAGCTCGGTGTCCTTCCCTGGTAAGACTGCCGGACCTACACACATTGTTGGAGCTAAAGGACGTGACAAACGAGGGGAGGGCTGGGGGGGCCGGGGGATGAGCTGCCTGGGTCTTGTCGCCCTCAGGGGTGGGATGAACAAGTCTTGGGGGGCAAAGGCTGGGATGTGATGCAAGCGGCAGGACATCATCAGTCCAGGAAGCACAGAACCTGAAATCTAACTCAGCCCCACCCACAGGGACATATAAAGCCTTACAGTGTCTGAGTCCGTGTGTGTGTGTGTGTGTGTGTGTGTGTGTGTGTGAGAGAGAGAGAGAGAGAGAGAGAGAGAGAGAGAGAGATTAGGTTTCCTGTTGATGCTGCACTACCTCCACACAAATTTCGTAGATACAAATAACATCCATTATATTATCTTACAGCTCTGAAAGTCATAAATTCAATGTGGTAGAGCACAGCTCTAGGGGTTTGGTGTCCTTGGCAGCTCTGGGGACAGTTTGTTTCCTTGCCTTTTTCAGCTTCTGCCCGCAGCCCTGGGTCAGTGTCTGCTCATCCTTTGACTTCCAATCTCCTTCCCTGACTCTGATTCTCCTCCCTCCTCTGTGTAGTAAGAACCCTTGTACTTCAGGACCATGTTGATGTCTAAAATCCTCCATCAAGCGCGTTTGTTGCCATATAAGAAAATATATTCTCAGGGGAGGGGCGTGGATGACGCTGACGTCACAGTTACGCCCTCTAGCCCTCCTCACGTCTGCCAAGAGGGGTACTGACCACGTGGCCGGAGCTGGGGTTCGCTGATGTGCTTTCCTGTTGTATCTTTGGAGCAGACTTTCCCAGATGGATGATGTCCATGAAGCAAATGGCTCCTTTGCCATCAAACTACTCAAAATGTTGGGTGAAGAAGACAAGTCACACAATATATTCTTCAGCCCCATCAGCATCTTCTCTTCCATGTCCATGGTATATCTGGGAACAAGAGGAAACACAGCAGCCCAGATGTCCCAGGTAAGGTGACTTGTTCCTTGTTTGCGAGGCAGCAGATATGGACGAGCAGTCCACCGTGAAGGCTGAGTGTTCATCTCAGTTTGCAGGAGACACAGTCTAGAGAAAATTCTCAAATTTCTAGAGAAAATTCTCAAATTTCTAGAGAAAGTTCTCAAATTTTCTGGTGAAATCACATTTTTGGAAAGTAATATAAACTATCCATCTGCCCTACACAAAGGCCAAAAAATACATCATTCAACCTTGTGATACTTTAAACTTTTGCTTACTTTATGTCTTAAGTACAAGTGGAGTTGTAGGAAGGGATGTTTTATAAAATGGATTTTTTTTTGGGGGTCCGGCCGTGGGGCCTGAACTCTGGGCCTGGGCGCTGTCCCTCAGCTCTTCAGCTCAAGGCTAGCGCTCTACCACTTGAGCCACAGCGCCACCCCCGGCTTTTTTCTTTTTGCTTATGTGGTGCTGAGGAATTGAACCCAGGGCCTCATGCATGCAAGGCAAGCACTCTACCACTGAGCCATCTTCCCAGCCCCTAAAATGGATTATTTTTTAGTGTCTGATCATATGTAAGTAGAAGAAAAATAGAACATAAATATGGGCTTAGAGTGATTGAACAATCTGACTGATCCTGAATGATCTACAAGTGGGCACTGGGTAATACCTTCGGGGCTTTTTTTTTTTTCAACCATGTGGTGAATGTGTCACAGGAGTCACAAGAACATTCTGTCTCCAGGGGTGTGCAGGAGTATTCCTGCCCGGTGTCCAGAACCTATGCTGAAATCCCTCTGTGGATGTTCACCAGCCCATTGGAAGACAGAAGCATTGCTTGGGGGGTGATTGGAAGAAACAGGAAAAGTCTTGATTCTTACTTTGGGTTGACATGTAAATCATAATCTGGCCATTGCAAAGAGGTGCTACTGACATCTAGTGGCAGGATCTGGAAGTGCTGCAAATTCTCGTAGGAATTAATTACTTAATTCTCCTAGGACAATTAATAGTGTCAAGACCGAACAACCTGGGATTAAATAAATAGATAAATAAATAAAATTTAAAATCCTTTAAAGGTAGGCTTAACATCACCATGTGATTTTCCAGTCCAAAACATTGTTTGTCAGTAGGTCTTTGGGGCTGGATGTTAACAGCAGATGTCATTTGTCTTTCCAGGCACTTTGCCTGGATGGCGCTGGAGATATTCACCGTGGTTTCAAGGTATTTCTCAGTGATGCTAACAAGACTGATCATCAGAACTTGCTGAGAATGGCCAACAGACTCTTTGGAGAAGAAACGTGCGATTTCCTTTCAGTAAGTAGCGTTCAGATAGTGATGGAGAGAGGTTGAAAAGAAGCAGGTGTGTGTGAAAGAAAGGCAGAGAGTGAAGTCTGACTCTAACACCTTAAGGTCTGCTTACGACGACGCCTTTGCAGATACAATTTGGAATTTTTATAATTGTGTCTGAATAAAATTCTTTAAAACTTGCTTCTGATACACACCTCCCCCCTCTCAAAAATACCAATGTTGATTTTTCTGTTCTCTTGCACCCAGACTTCTCCTCAGCTGTACTGTGTCTCTTCTTCCCTCCTCTGCTGACTGGGCTGGTTGCTGCAGACACGGCCTCTTCAGGTCTCGTACCTTTGCTCTGTCTTCTGAATTGTCATTGGTGTTGCTTGGGTTCAGACTGTTTATGCTCTTGTTCATTGCTCCTAGGAGCGGATCTTTCAGAATCCTGCCTGGCTCTTTTGCTTATTTCACAAATTGACACCATGGGTAGAAGTCTTTCTAGCTAAGACGAAAGTCTCTTCATTATTCAGCATCTATCTCTGAAGTTATTCAAAGCCTGCCCTAACTCAGCAATGTGGATCCAAACAAGTATGGCACATAGTATGGAGGCCAATGCTTGCTTGAGGTTAGTGTCATGAATGGAGCAGGCCCGGCCATCTTATTGGAGGTGAATTGCCAGGGTCCTTGTGCAAGGCTCAGGCGTGTCCCTCTCCGGGTGGCTGTGGATCTGTCCGCAGGACGCTGTCTGGACTTCTGAGTGCTGTAGATGACTCTGGATCCCAGGAATCTTCTGGTGGATCTGTGTCCAGTTTTGACATCACATGGATCTTTCACTATCGGGGACATGAAGAACTGGCCTCCCCTTGGTCCTAAAATACTTGCTAATGAGAAATAAGCAGAAGAGGGGCGCTCCACTGCCAGGCAAATTATATCTGCAAATAAGCTTTTGTGGGATGAGTCATTTGGGTCTTTTCTTGCTTTGATTCCAAGTTACCTTGCAACTTCCCTGACACACACAAATGTACACACACACAGAGACATACACACAAGTATATACGCACACATTCACACACATAGGCACATCCGTGCTGCACCGCGGGGGGAAGATTTGCTGATTTCCAAAGGCCAACC